TTTCTCACTTTCCCACAGCATCATTGCAAAATTCAATGTGTTTTATTGGGATTTCTTGTAAAGGTGAAACAATCAGTAATGCATAGTTATATAACTGCAAATAAAAACAATCTGAAAAGTTGAGTGTGCAGCATTGGATTTTGGCTTTGTAGAGCCACTTTTTTGGTGCAAATATACAATATATACGTGTTTTATCGGTTTGACACATCTATTCTAAGCTTTATTAATTCTTTCTTGGAAAAATAGCTAACATGCAGTAAATAACTAAAAAAAGCATCTGAGAATATCTATGTTCTTATCCCCACAGCATGATGCTGCCACTACTGTGTATTACCATGAGAGTGATGTGTTCAGGGCTTTGTGCAATATTTGCAACATAGCATTTTACACATAAGCTTAGGTTGCATCTGATCAGAGCATCTTCTTCCATCTGTTTGTTGTGTCCCCTGCATTGCTTTGCAAACTGCAAATTATAACTGTTAGCTGTCCATTCAATCTCCCATTTTTTGGAGAAGTGTCAAGAAGAAGGCCATTGTAGATCAAAGCTAACAAATGGTGTACTAACAGTTTCTTCCACCTGAGCAATGTTTCTCTGCAACTCTTCCAGAGTTAAAATTGATTTTTCACATAATATATATAATTATTGTATGATTTATTGATTTATTGACTGATTTATTACAACAAAACATTTGAAAAAAAAGTAATTAAAAGTATGCTGTAGGTGTACAATCATTTAGGATGTTGTATTTGTAATGTATTTTGAAAACCATGCCTGCTTCATTTCACCTCACAATAATTCATAAAGCTGGACTGGTTTCTCCTATATACTCTCAATACAATACGATGAAGTTATAATGTGACAAAATGTATAAAAGTTCTCAGTGTGTGGATACATTTCCATGGTGTTGTATAAAACTGAACAAAAAATGCCCCATAAAGTCATCCCCCCCTTATCCCCTTATACCAAATGTCACCTTTCTTTCTAATACAATCCCCTCAGGGTTACTGATGCCACAGGTTTCAACTCACATACCCTTGTTATGTCTTGTTTCCAGGGCAGGGATTTATACAGTATGTTATCTTTCTAGCCTGCAAAACAGCTGCAACTGGAAATAAATTAACAGCAAATAAAATTCACCCAGTTCATAGAATATGTGTAGATTGCCGTGGGGTACCTAAACGGATAAAAATAAGAAACAATTACACTTCTTGTTTTGTTCTGACCTCTCTCTCTTTTATTTTGTTCTCCTGTGCAGCTGAACATAGTTTTTGTGGGTGTGTGTTTTTTTATTTTTTTTTTTATTTTGTTGTGTTTTTTTGTGTGCGTGCAAGTAATCAGTTTGGTTAAGCATCCCTGGCCATAGTATGGGTCAAATCAGAGCAAACACCCACTTTTGATCCTACAGTGAAATTAAATACAGTGCTACAGTCAAACTCTATAAATGCTGTAATTCTCTGCTGACTGCAACCCACACCAAGTGCTGCGGTTAGCCACCCAGGCCCTTATACAGCGTGCCCCTGTGATAACAGGCAGCGATATGGCGTCGTAATTGCTGGGCCTGTGAGTGCTATTGTAGGGAGTTTTCAGCAGGTTTCTTTCTCACTTTCACTCCATTTGACGCCTTTGAAGTTGGGCTTGTATCTGCCTTTGCTCCTGATGGCTGTTGTCTTTGGTGCAGTGCTGCGTGCGCCCCTGCTCTTTGAGCACTCCAAACATGTAACAAAGGCAAGCCCTTAGAGAAAAAAAAAGAAGAAGAAGAAACAGTAGAGAAAAGGGAGCTCTCTCTCCTGTGTTCTCACATGAATTCATAAATGCACAAACACCATTTACAACAGATTCAGCCACAGTCGTTCAAATGCAGGAAAAAAACTGCTGCCTCCGCTGTCGTTAAAAAACACTGCTGTGTGAGATTGTTTAAAGTGTCCTAATTTGATAAAGAGCCAAGTGCGGGAAATGAGAGAGTAGTGCATTTGTCTCAGGGGTTGTAGTGGGGTAAATATAGCAACAAGACAGCACCAGTTGATATGAAGGATTCCACAGTGCCGAGTGCTGTTGTGACTCACCAGGCTATGAAGACCTCTGTGTGTGAGTCTGTGAGACATGCATTTGGATTCATATGTCCACTACAATTGATTAACTTTAATATAATTGCCCTTCTCTTGACTCATCCAGCGCTGTGTAGAATAATGCCCAAGTGAGTGCATGTGTGAGTTAAACAGGGAGGCAAGTGAGTGGGATATATGGCTGTGCAGAAGAAGAAGCCAGCGTGGCTGGCTCCTGGCTGGCTGTGTGGGGGTGTGTGTCTTAAAGAGCGTGTTGAGAGGAAAGTGAGAGCTCATGGTCAGTCTCCATGTCTAATCAGAACACTTGTGTGTCCCCGTCTCATTGTCTCCTGGGCCCCTCGGAGCAAAGATCCTCCTCTGCACCACTGAATGTGACTCAGGGTGATCCGAACGGCAGGCAGACCTCTCACCCTCTGATTTACAAGACCAAGGACTAGAAGAGAACAGGGGAAATATCTGCTGATGAAAGGTGTAAAACTATGAAAAACAGAATGTAGTTGGCTCACCATGGCAATAATCACCTCTAGTGTGAGAATCTAAAGAATCTACTTCCATCTACAGAAAATCAGGGCTGTGAACTGTGAATCTGTGAACTGCTGTATTTATACAGCTCTTTACTGTTTAAATAATGTACAGTCACTGTAGGGTTATTGGATTTCACAGTAAAACTATTGTATTCTCATCAATCTTATAATATGCAATCTATTCACATCATGTTATTTTAGATGTATGATGTATTCTGGGAAAAAATAAAGATACCAGAATTTGAACTATGGTCATGCTAAGTAATCTTTAACCTGAGATACAAACATACTTTTTTCTGTATAAACGCGGTTTGGCTTGTAGTCCTTTTAACTCTGGGAGAGGTATTTTTCAGTAAAACCATTCTGCTGTCAAGTCTCACAGTACTAATGTCTTACTCTGTCAGTTTACAGTTTAATTTCACAGTAGAATTAAAATACATGTGCATCTGAATACATTAGAATATCAGTGAAACAACATTTTATTTCAAAAAGTTAAACTCATGCAGAGATGCATCACTATCTGAGTCATATATTTTAAGCAGGTATTTGTTTGAACTATAATGATGGCTCGTAACCTATAAAAGCCCAAGTTATCTCTCTGACACCCTTAAGAACATGTCTGTATCTTGTGGCTTTTGAAACACTGACCCTAGCCATAACTAATGCAGGCTGCAGTGCATTAACCTTTTTTTCTTCCACTAAACTTTCCATTAATCTGTCTGGATACAAATGCCTCTTTTACAGTTTGTGCCAACTCTCATCATGTCAGTCTGCAATGACACCCATTATACAGGCCATAGCATAACATTTCTAAACATCTACTTTGAATTGGTCTGATAGAACCCTGTGATCTTATAAGAAACTTAATTAGTGGTTTTAATGAAATATAAGCTCTAATCGTCTAAAGAAACAACAATAAACTCTTGGAATATAACCTATAATATGAGAACCATTTCCAAAATTAGATTTAATTTTGAATGATATTTTGATTCTTTTTTTTTTTTTTTACTGAACCTTAACAAGGGGCAGTGGATGATTATTTATGGTGAGTTACTGTCATGATACCTGTAGACAATCGTGTAGCCATATTATATTTTTGGCAAATATTTTTTGTGTGTGTTTTTTATGTTTTTCAGAATCCAAGATTTTGCGCGCCCCCGGCTTGTGTTTAAGCTCTACAGCGGGGGCCAGCATGCGCGCCCTCGGATCAGCACTTTCCCAGTTGCGTCTCCTCCATTTACCGGCGAGGATTCCCAATCAATAATTCAATAGTTTTGGCGTCTAAATCCTGCCCCAAACACAGATGAACACACAAACAAGCCCGGCTGTCGTGCAGACTTGGTGAGATCGGTATTAATTAATTGCTGAGGACATTGTGTTTTGCGTGGAAAAAATATCGGAAGAGTAATGCGATCCGCATTTCTATAATTATAGGCTTCCTGTGTCAGGTGTTTATTAAATGTTCAATAAATATGTCAGGAAATGAATTAGGCAAATTTGTGAATCAAGTAAGACAAGTGTTAATGAATCTGTTTGTTTGTTTGTTTTTTGTTTGTTTTTTATGTGTTCTAAGCTGCGCGCTTGCTGTATGTTTTTATTCATAGTGCCAAACTTTTGGTCACAATACAGCAAAAAAAAAAAAAAAAAAAACGTTTAGCAGAGATGAGCAAACAGCAAATCCGAATAAACATGTAACTATACTTTTTTCTCCTTTTTTGCTTCACGTTTTGGGTATCTTTTAATCACTCGCAGCATGTTTGTGCAGAAAATATTACAAAATAGATAATTTCCGTGTCTAATTGTGCGTTTATATGTTCATTGGGTTAATTAAAATTAAACAGATTAGTTTAAGTTAATTATTAGGCCCCCGGTCCGGAGGGATTCGAATTCCAGCAACAACACATTTGTTTTTAAATTAAAATAATTACTAATTCAGAGAATCGATCATAAGCATTTATTTAAAAAGCTGCAAAACTTCATCCTTGAGCTGTTACTGAACGGCTTTCATCCTGATGTAGCCTATCCTTTATCTGCCTGTTAACTCGTACTGGAAATTATCAGTTCTCTTCTAAAACCTCTCTATAAGGAAACTATGAATAATGCATTGCTTTGGCAAGGGCAGTGCAACGCACACAACTCGCGCGCACGCACCAATGTGCGCGCGCACACACAGTAACATCCCCGACTAAACGGGACCTGTCACAACTCTGATGTTATCAAACGACTTCCACCTATAAATTATAAAAAATCTATTGCTCTCAAAACCTTTACTGATAATAATAATAATAATGACTATAAAGTAGACATAAAAATTTAACCGATTTTGTAAAAAAAAAAAATCAACTCATTAAAGAAACGTTTGTTAATTTATTTAAAACAAATAAAAAAAAATCATCTTTTTTGTTAAGGTGGTTTCACGTTTCACATGTGATGGAACAAAAAATAATTTTATGTCATTCCTTTTTCCCCCTTTAAGAAACCCGTGCTTTTTGGGTGAGCTCGTGTTCACTATTAAAAAACATTCAAATTACATACAGAAAACACATGTTTTTAATGCACGGGGAAAGTAATACAAAATGGACAAGTTCCCAACGAGGCATTCATAAATCCACAAAATCATAAAAAATAATGCCTGTTTTTTTATGTTTTTTTTTTCTTTCTTTCTTTTCTTGAGTATTAACATATTTTACATGTGCCCGTACCGGTTCGCATACAGTCAGTGTTAGAGAGGCCATTTGTTGATGAGATTTGCCTAGCTTAGACAAAAAGAAAAAAAGGGATGTAAATTACCTTTTAGGCTAATTATATGGACATTGGCTCGAAATATGATTTCTTAAAAAAAATGTAAAAAGAACTTTAATCTTTCTTTATAATCTACCAGTTTCACCTTCAACCATGGGAGGTCCAATAAAGGTCAGGGGGGCCAAATTTTCAATAGAGAGGGATGGACAGCTAGGGGATGGGGGGGCTGGGAGTGGAAGGGGGGGCTCACAAACTCATGCAAACACTGCAGAGGCATGTTTAAACTGGACAAAACAGTGGAGGGAGAGATATCGTCCGTATTATTATTCTTTTTTTCTGTTTGACAAAGAACCCTCACTGCTTTAGCATGGTTTTTCTGTAATATTATGAGGCCAGCCTCTATATAGAATCGAAACGAAATCATAACAACAAGAACACAATAGTTAAACAGGAAAACGCAGAATGGTTCGCCTTGTTTGACAAAGAATTGGCCAACCCAGCTGCATCCTCCTCTTCCTCCGGGTATCTGTCCATGTGTTGCCGTCCACCCAGTGAGCCACTCAGGGCGCGTGTGTGTAGGCTATTACGTCACAGTTTTTTTATTTTTTATTGTCTTTCATAAATAGCCTATATCTTATTATTGTAGTCGTCCTCCATTGAGAAAACATAAATTACGTCCGTGGATAACGCTTTCCCCCCTTCACTTTGAAGCAGTTTTGGTTCAGTGTGTCCTCAGTCCCCTCCTTGCTGTCACAGCCCCAGCGCCGCCGTGTGTTTTTTGGCCTTCAGTCTCAGGTCGGCGATGCTGGAGTTCTTGCTCGTGTTCTTTGCCGCGGCTGCGGCGGCCACTACTGAGGCGGCAGAGGCCGACTCTGCCGCGAGCGTCGCCAGGGGCAACCCGAACGGCGGGGCGGGGAACATCATGTAGGGCGCGTGCGCCGCCAGGTGAGAGTGCAAGTGGTGCTGCGCGTGAGCCACGGCGCTGTCCAGCTGCAGTTGCGCCTGCACCTGAAAGGAGAAGGGCGGCACGTTGCAATGACTATCCTACGGGACGCACGGATGGAGGGGGGAGAGAAGGGGGAGAACATGCGTTAACTTTGCAGTGGGATGGGTTCAGGATCATTTTCACCATGCTGTAGCTATTTTAGATTGCATTTCCAATTTAGTGGAAGTTCTTGAAGCAATCTCTATTTCGTATCCACCTCTTTTTCAATACTATGTAGTAGGCTATAATGCATGTGTTAAGGACAGGTGAAAGAAAGCAATCAACTCCTCTAATCTGAGACCCAGCTTCACACAAGGTCGCATCATTCTGTTTCATGACGAGCTATTCAGCTGATAAACTGATCCTGAAAGTAATGAAAAGAGGGGACAAAAATGGATACGATGCCAAGATGCATGGAAGCTCTGGCTACAAATCATTGTTATTCTATAAATCTTCCACATTCTAAACATAGGTGCTACACTGCAAAAAATCAAAATCTAGACAAGTCATTTTTTTTTCTTAAAATAAGTGCACTTGTGCTTGAATTGAGGAGATAAAAGAAACATTTTTACCAAAGATAATTTACATTGAAGATAAGAAAACACAATTGCATTGTCTAATTTCATGTGCATATTATCTAGTTATCTTATTTTAATAATAAAAATACTAATTCCATTGCCAAATTATTTAATTAACATACTCAGATCAAGGGTAAATACACTTAATTTAAGACATTTTTACTCATTTCTAGATTTCGTTTTTGGAGTGTGCTGTTTATAAAGTAAGATTCTTTGCAGATTCCCATCTACAAACAGCTCAGAAATATCACCGTGGCTCCATAACCTTTTCTGTATGTTAAATATTAGCTGCTAATTTGAGTTTGAAATGTGAGAAAAATATTTATAGAATAAATTAAAACACAGACACGTCATTAAATAGCAACAATCTGACAACCTGATCATTTTTGTTTGTGGTATAACTTGATTAAGAGCTATCTGTGTATAATTATTTTTCAAAAAGAGCTTCTATTATGAAGACATATCTATTCAAGATTCACCCATTTACCTGTTGAAGGGTTTCAATTTAGGTTACCCTCATTCTAAAAAAAAAAAAGAAGCATTAAAATGCTACTTTTGTGTTTTATAAATTTACTGAGGATTTCTATACATTTTAAACAGTGTTTTATGGGATCCATATAAAGAGTTTAACTGTTGTATTCATTTTATAATCTAAACAAGAAATAAAGAAAAGAATTTGAATGGAAGTCCATTGCTCTGCATAAATGAACCTGCATAAAATCAAATGTCCCTAAGAGTAAACTCCAGTTCTGTTAATAATAGATTATGGTTGCAAAAAAAAATAAAACAAATAAATAACACTTTTTAGATTTTCATAAATGTTTGTTTAGCTTCAGTAGAACAAGCCCTGAGATGGTCAAAAAAAAAAAACACAGAAAACATGAGAGGGAATTTTCCAATTAAGCTACGCTGTGTTGGCACAGTGTTCTCACAAGTGAGGTAACAAGAGTTTAGTTTGCTCCAATACCCCCCCCCCACACACACACACCCTGACACATGGAACTGGATTCTCTGCATATAACACTTGGTCACATCCTGAGCCAACACAGCAGTCATAGTGAATGAATTGTGGGTGGTAGATTAGAGACAGAGGAAGTGTCTGCTCCGTGTTATTGTTATTTTATTTCTTTAGACTGAAAACTTCTGAGTTACTTGCCTGTTGGAATGGCATCCTTAAAGCCCCCACGTTGACATATGGCGCTACACGACAAGCTTCAAACTGATTGGCTGCTCCAATTAGGACTCCTGTGTCAGAAAATAAAAAGATAATAGCCTAATTAAGAGAAGGGAATTCCAGTTAAACTGTATAACCTCCATTAAACTAGATAAATAAAACTTTGTAACATTGCTACTGGAAATTGCTTAAGAACAGTGAAATGTAAAGGAATATAAAGGGTTAACTGGGAAAAGATTTTTATATATATATATAGCAACCATTGCAAGAATAGAATATAGAATTCAATTAAATCAAGGAGAATTGAATCACACTGAACTGAGGATTGCCTCAATGTATGATTGTACCTTTATGTAACTGGTTCTCCTGCTTTCTGCATTTCGCTCTTCTGTTCTGGAACCAAACCTGCAGGGACAGAAATTAATTAGAGACCCACTGATTGGCAGCTGCTTGTGAGGCCATGTGTAATTCCTCTCAAAGTGACAACAACCGCAGAAAAACAATATCCCCCAGGAGCAATGAAATATTAATGCTACTGCTTAACCTCAGATTTTAATTATTATACATTTAGCCTACAACAAGTGGGGGAGGGGGGATGCAAAAGAGCGTGAGTTGAGATTAAGGAAAGGTAAAAAGAAAAAAACAACAACAACAAAACAAACAGATAAATCTGATGTCAAATTCATTAGGAGAATGGAATGACTCCAGTTGGAAAATGAGCAGGACTTTCTCTGGTATAATAAATAACCTTGTCAGCACTGGTTTCATCTTTCTATAGATGAGTGTCCCCTAAGAGTTGAATGGACTCTCGGATATCGGATTGCAGCAATGCTATCATGGCTTTTTTGGATGATCAGAGCAAAGAGGGATCTGAGCGCCCATCTCCTTTCTTTCTCTGACCGCTGAAATTAATTACCCTTATCTGCAGAAAATCCATGTTGGAGGCATGCTTAAATGTCTAATCACCGCCATAACACTTAGTGCACAAAAAGCGACAGAGTGGTAGCTCCCATTTCTCTTCGGAGAAATCCTGCGAAACGCCTTGGAACGCGCATTAAAAGCTTTATTACTATGATAATCCGCCATAAATAGCTCAGATAAAGCCTGGGCTGTAGAGGGACACAATGCAACGTGTCTGCCCACAGTCTCTGTAACATTATGCCCCGCAAACGGTGAAAACTTGATTGAAATATCATATCGATTAGGCTGTCAGCTGGCTTCATTCATTGATCACAGTGTATCAGACGCACTGATTCATGGCTATTATAAAACCAAGCGCACCGGTGTGATTGGTGCTTAAAACCAACTCTAAATAATACGTGCGCATAAAAAGATGTAATACTCCGACGGAGATTAAAGAGACAGAGGCGAAAGCTGATCTCGATTTTGGGGTTGAAAATAATACATAATGTATGCAAATCCCTGGAGCTGTGCTCCTTGTCCGGAACACAATGCGACTTATTGGGGAGATTCCAGTTCAGGGCCTGGGGAGCCATGCACAAAGCTGGTTTGGATGGAGTTTGAACCAAAAACAACTTTGTCTTTAAAAGAGTTTTAATGCAGAATATAATACATGTACGTTTTATATGATTTTTTTATATATATATAAAACAGAGGAAAAGGGAGCTGCTTTTATGATTATTCTCTCCCCCTGTTCGCCTCACACATGTCTGAGACCCCCTCCTCTCTATCCCCCCCAACACACGTTGTCTATCTCCCACCACTCATACTGGGTTTCTGCACAGATGGTCCAACCCTATGAAAATCTACTGACTGGTAACACATACCTTAAAACCAGAATGCAAAAATGTGTATTATTTTTGGCGCAATGTTTGGATTAGAATAGAGACAAATAACACACAAGCTAAAGAAAAGTATTTTATAATATAAATATTAAGTAAACTGCATTTTGTTGCAAAAATGTATCAAAAAAACTACAAGGCTTTATCTGATTTGGCACAAATCAAGGCCATGCAAAGTTTTTATGCACCTGCATCAACTGCATATTAATAATTAAATTCAACAAAATAAAAGTCAATTAGAATGATCCTTATGTTAGGTTAGTAAATAATTGTTAGTTCGGGTATATGATAATAACAATAAAAAATTAACAATATTTTTTTACAATTGAACCTACTCTGCAAAAACGGTCTAGAAATAAGCAAAATGTCTTAAATTAAGTAGGCCTATATTTACCCTTAATTTGAGCAGGTAAATAAGATGATTTGCCAGTGGAATGAGTATTCTTAATCTTAAAATAAGATAATTGGATATTATGCACTTATAATAAGATATTGCAATTGTTCTTTTGTTATTTTAAATGTAAATTGACTTCTTCCATTGGCAAAGAGTCTCACTTACCTCCTTAATTCAAGAAGAAATGCACTTATTTTAAGAAAAAACGACTTATGTAGATTTACATTTTTTTGTAGCGTATTAGTGATCTCAGTGTGTGTGTTTATTAGTGATGTGTTTATTTATTTATTTCTGTAAATCGCGCCTACCTGCACCCGGGCCTCCGATAGTCCCAGCCTCTGGCTCAGCTCCTCCCGCATGAAGGCGTCCGGATAGTGGGTCTCGTCAAAGAGTCGCTCCAGCTCGTTGAGTTGCTCCAACGTGAAGTTAGTCCGACTTCTCCTCTGCTTGATTTTTGTTTGCGTTTCATCCTCGATGGGTTTGGAGTCCTCTTTCCTCTCCTTCACATCCGTGGCGCCTGCGATGACAGCAGGGAACCACGATCAGCATCATGCACTGTGGACACCCCCTATAGGGATGTTTTCTTTTCTCTTTAATCTTTTTAAAAACATAGGATTTACTGCACCAGATGGGATCAAGTTTTTTTTTTTTTTTTTGTGCAAAAATGACACCTTCCCTGGACTGAAAAGTGCGCGATGTCCCATGCAATTTGCAAAAAAGTAGAGGAGGAGAGCAAAGGAAGAAAAGGCTTTGCCCTCTGATATCACACAGCTATCAGACCTCGGATGTTTTGTCGAGCTACATAAAGCTCTTTAATTATTAACAGCTTATAAATATGCAACGTCGTGCCTACTGTTGGGTGTCTGATACATGCTTGTCGCGGTTCCGCTTTTAACCACGCTGCCCATGACGAGCAGATGTCACTTTTACAAGCCTTCCAACTCTAGGATGTCTTGTCCAGCATTTTGTCCCAAAAACACAGGCGATCAACTATATTTACACGCATCAAAATATCTGGAAAAGTTATTGGAACATATTTCAATATATTTAACATTTGCTTTTTTTTGTGCATGACCTTAATTTTCTCTGATTTATTTAATATATATATATTTATTATTTCTGTACTTTTTTGGTTGTTTAGTTCTGCACTTTGTGAAGCTTATAATTAGAGTTACTTATCCACATCTAATATATAGTGAAAATATTTTTTATTCAATTTGCCAACAGAAATGCGGTTTTATTCTAGTAGTTTACATTTTCATGGGTTATAATGCTCCTAAATGAACCACACACAGATAGAAACTGTATGGCTAAATGATTATTGAAGCCATTCACACTCTGTGGCTTTAAAATTATTGCCTGAAACCAAGAAGGCCAAATTGTGTCGTTATTGGAAATTACTGCCAGTTTTTAATTTTTAATTTAATATAGGAGTAAGTTTATCCTTTTATCTCATCTATTTATTTGGAGTAGAATCCTTTTTTTGTTATTATACTAAAAATTTAAACGAAATAATATTTTTTTATTCATTGTTTGTATATGGGTTGTTGTATAATTTCTAATTTGCTCCTATGAAACACAATAAATCTGGAAACAGATTTTAAAAAGATCCACATGCTTTATAGAAAATGTTTTAAGAGCAGTTTAAGTGAGATAGAATAATATCAATGAGCGACAGAGATGTACATTTATGAAAAATACTTAAAAATGTGTGCTTTTTCAAATATACGCAAAGGTACATATTAATTTTAATGGTGTTTATCTCTCAGTAACTTAAACATGTTTTTACTTTACTGTTTTCCCTTTTTTTCTGATGAATTTCTCCTCCTCATAAAGCAGCTAGAGCTCAGACCTCTTACCGTCGATGTGTTTAGGACTCCCCGCGTCCCTGATCCTCTCCGGCCCCAGCATGTCTGCCTCCCTGCCCGGAGAAAGCGCCACGTTCCGCGCCAGAGCGGCCGCCTCCTCTCGGCTCCCGGGCTCCGCGGTTAAAGACTCCCTGCTTCCCGCTCGCGTCGCCCCGGTCTCCAACACCTCCCTGTAGGTTATCACTTCCTTCTTCTCCTTCACTTTCTGATCGAAGGACTTGGATACGAAAGCGGTGAGCTCTTCCATCACTGCTTCCTCTCCTCTTGGAAAAAACACCATACACTCACTCCCTCTCTCTCACGCGCACACACATACGCGCAAACTCTCCCCCTCCGCTGCTTAAGACATCAATGGTGCGGCTCGTTGAAAATGATAGGTGAATGCAAGCCAAACTGTGGATGAAGGTGGGGAAAAAATATATCTTCTCAGCCAATTCCTCCTCCTTTGGTATAGCGGAGTTGGGGAACCTGCTGGTGATCCTCTATTGAAGTCACAGTATTTATACTTTACTGCGCCTTGCCCCCTTGATCCGCGCAAATTACCTCCCCTCAGGATGCCGGGATGAGCCCCCCCTCCCTCCTCCTTCTCCTTCAAAGATATTGGAGGAAAGGAGAGAGAGAAGTAAAAACATTAAGCAGCACCACCGCTATTGGCCATTAATCCAAGATTGACAAGAAGGAGTAATTAATTTAATTACGCGCTCATTCGCCGCTATTGTCCTGAGTTAGTTTTTTAAACACCCGGGAGTTGCTCCTCTCTCTCTTTCTCTCTCCCTCTCTCCATCTCTCCATCTCTATCTTTCTGCAGGGGTGTGGCTTAAAAAAATCCGAAAAATGACAAGCAGAGAGGAAAGCGCATGGATGAAATGATGACTTCTCGCTCACTTTGGCTGTATCTCCGTGATCGGGAGGAAAAAAGACGCACAGGAATGACACGGAGGGTGAAAGCGGAGCAGCTGGGAGGAGAAGCAGAAGGAGAAGCGTCATGCGTTTGGAGCTTCATCCAAGTTCAAGTGAACACATTTTGGCGTTCCTAAAACTTTGGCCCTGAGGCCTTTCCATTGTTGCGCTTTTATTTCCATAAATGCAATGCTATATTACATTGATTTTATCACTATTAATATGATTATTATTAAAAATGATTCAACCGCGTTTTAATAAAAAAGGCTATTTTACATTATTGCCATTATTAATTAAACTCCCTTGCTTAATATGTATCCTCATCGGACCATTTTAATCCATTAGGATTTTAAACTGCAGATAAACGCTTAATTATAGCCTGGTGCATCTATGTGAGATGAGTCTACGTTGCCATTGGGCTCACTAATTAATGTTTCAAGCTCCCTGTTATTTATTCCCTCCTCCTGCAAAAATTAACCGCTAAATTTAGCTAAAATAAACAAACAATTAGCACGACTGTTTCAAAAGGTAGTACACTGCAAAAAAATGTAAGTCTAATTAAGTCATTTTTCTTAAATTGAGGGGAGTAAGTGAGAGATTTTCCCAATGAAAGGAGACAATTTACACTTAAAATAAGAAAACAGAACTGCATTGTCTTATTTCAAGTGCATATTATCTAATTAACTTATTTTAAGAATAAAAATACTAATTCCATTGGCAAACTATCTTATTTTCTTGCTCAAATTAAGAGAAAAATACACTTAATTTAAGACATTTTCACTTATTTCTAGATCATTTTTACAGTGTAGCATATATTTACACAATCTAGATAAATCTATCTATCTATATACATATATATAAATATCATTTTTTTTAAGTGTCGGGATGAATCTGTGTATATAAACCCATTTTCCACACACACAGGACACAGTTCCCCTAATAAAATATTAATGACGCTTCGGCTCAAACCGTAGGCATTAATTACTATTAATCCCACCGCATCTGAAAGCATGGATGTATTCAGATAGCGTTAAACACATTCTTTTATCTATTTACTCCGATTACTTTGTTTCTCATCAGCTATTTACAGCCCGCGCGCGCTGTGATCCATCAGTCGATATATGATATTGGTCGTTTCACCTTCAGCTCCGGTGTGTGTTTTTAAACTTCATCCGAGTAATTAATTATTCTACTTTACTGCAAATTGCCTGCTTGCTCTGTCTGACCTTGCATTTCAGGCTGTGTGTTGTTGTTATCTGAGCAGATGAGCACATGGAAATGCCCGCTGACATTTTTATTTTTATTATTTTTCATATAAATATGCATTTCTTAAGTTATTGGGGAGGTAGAGCCGATCAAAGACAAAGCAAGAAGCTCGGAGTGCTGGTGCATATTTTTTCTTTGAAATGTTCTTCATTCACTGCTGCTGTCTCACACTGGAGGAAAAAAATAGCACAAACTGCAACAAAAGATATTACTAAAATAATAAATGCTTTATAATTTTCTTTCAAACTTTATATTATATAGATATATTTGGGGATGATTACTGTATTCGTCTGAAGCTATTTCACATTACAATTAACCTATGAGCTGCAAGCATAGGCAACTGATTAAATTAAGTTGCATGCCATCCAATTTGCAGAGCACACCCTGGAGACCATGAAACTCAGCGGCTGCTTTAGGCCTCCACACCAACAGGTGGCTCCCAAGACCATTCTAAGGGTCTCACTAGCAGTGATTAGAAAAAAAGATTTGTTTTGTACAATACATCCGTGGATGTATTGTACATCCATTGCATATACGTAATTGGATATACATAATTGAATATTTAAAATTGCATTAAGTAAATCAAGGGGTCTTATTGTAAAGTTATTCTAATTTAGACATTTATTTATTGATAGAGCTTTTAGGTTTTTAGGTCAGTAGATTTTACAATTTAATGTATTTAAGATTTTGCACTTGCATTGATTTCAAGTGGTGGGCTTGTTATTAAAGTTTTTTACTTGTTTTTAATATGGCTTCAGAAGTAGGCTACTCTTTCTTTTATTTATATATATATATATATATATATATATATATATATATATATATATATATATATATATATATATATATATATATATATATATATATATATATATATATATTACAAGTTGGCTTCCTTTTTATCAACTTTAGAAAATAAAATTATTACAATGGCTGCTTATTTAAACGATTAAACGTGGCTTCCACTGAGTAAAATATATTGTATTTCACACAGAAGTGAATCAAATCAAAAGTAATTTACAAGCAGAGTGGAGAAAAAAATGGTTACATGCAATCCAGTTACAAGCAAAAGGGAACTAAACAGATGTATATACAGCTTGCAAAATAACAGGAGCCCCCCAGAGAGAACTAAAATTTGCAAAAAAGTTTAATTTAACATGACTTCTTTTTGTACTGTTACATTAGTAGTTTTTGTGCAAACCAAAGCCAGTGATGAAGCATGTGTTTCAAAATTCATATTTACAAAAGGGATAAAAGATTCTATCTGTTTCACTGGGATGACTTTTTTTATGTTTTATTGGGCATTCTGGCTTTATGCATACATTTTAGAAAAAAGTTAATTCTACAATCGCCTAAACTGGAGAAGTGGAAGAACAAACTAAATAAAACCATTCCACCATCAAGAAAAATGACTGGCTTCCCGGAAGTAGTTGAGCTTTTTATTGTTATCATTAAAAAAAAAGATAAAGATCCATTCTGTCTGAGATTTTCCATCCTTTAATCAGTCAATTCATTATAAATGTGTATGTAATTTGTATAAAAGTAATAAACCAGTTTTGAGTAAGAAGTAAGCTCAATGGTAAGAACAAGTTCCAGGCAATCAACAGCTATGCCTTGTCAGTAATCAGATACCCTGCTGGGATCATAAGTTGAGCTAAGGAGGAAATTCAGGCCATTGATGTTAAAACATGAAAGCTATTCACCATCCATGGTGGATTCCACGCCAAATCCCATATCTAGAGACTATACACTAAGGGCAAATAAAGGAGGCAGATACCTAGAGAGCATCAGAGCCACCACTGAAGGTATAACATCAGGCATTAGGAAACATTGATTAGGAAGATGGCCCCGATGGATGAAGCACTTAGTTAATGTCTTAGACAGAGGAAGCTGAAAATGAAGGAACTGGAGGAACCATCATGTGAGGAAGAAAATCCCTACATGGGATGTATCACCAACAGATAGATGAAGTGGCTTCCAATGGCTGGAGAGGAGCAGGCCTGGAGAACCTGAGAAAAAGAGGTCTACCATACCAGGCAAGATCCCAGGTGCAGGCTATGCAAAGAGGCCCCAGAAACAATCCACCAAGGGCCTGGTATAGAAACATCTGAGCAGTATACAAACTGGGGACAACTATGAGCCACCTCCAAAAGGAGTGGAGAATGACAGAGCTATAAGATCCTGTGGGAATTCCAGATCCAAACAGACAGCATGGTTGTGACCCACCAACGGGATACTGTGATCAATAATAAGCAGCCATAGTGGTCGATGTTGCTATCCCAAATGATGGAAACATCAGGAAAATTTTTAATTCGTTAGTTATGAAATGGTTAAATTAGAAATACACCACAAATGTTTAAATAAAGGTAAAGTATGTTTTGAAATGTAAAAAAAAATAGCAACCACATTATATTAAGGACGCTAAGCAACCTTGGGCTCCTTCAGTCTAAGTAATTCAAATGTGTTTAAAGAAAAAAACTGAATTAAAGTTCATTAAGGCAGCTTCTGATAAAAAAATTTAAAAGCTATTAAAGTCTTTATTTTAAGAGGAGACAAAAAATATCGGTGTTACTGTAATACTAACGACATGCTATATTTTTTTAACACCAAAGAATGAGACTCAGAAAAGGCTTGAATCGGTTGTGCTGTGCTTATCTCCTCTGCCTGGATTCTATCGATGTTTCCTTCATCGTTTGGTAAAGCCTGGTTATCACTGCATGTGGGGAATTCAATGTTGTTAAAGAGAGGAGCGGGACTTCCATGTTTCGGTTTGTCTGTCTTTCTATTAAGACCTAGAATGTAATTTTTTAACCGAACGAAACGACATGCAACCAAACCGCTAAGAAGGTTAAATGCTTCACTTAAAACGCGGATGTTTTTAGCTGTAGGCTAGTTTGGTTAGCACAGTTAGCATGCCTTTAGCCTCAATACAAATGAAAGAGATCTATTAATCTAACAGGATTTATTGGATTGTGTTACTACAGTGTCATTACAGCCTTCTTGTTGACATGTTTGACTAACAGGCTCTCTATCCTAATGCGACATTTAATGAATAAAATAACTAAGAGGAGAAAAGGGGCTGAATCAATGGTTGTGTGTAACGGCTGTTCTTTTGGATCCCCTCATTTCCAGCTGACCGATAAGCAGCATGGGTCGGCGTTCCTCTGACAGCGAGGATGACAGTCGGAGCAGGAGGAAAAGAAAACAACGTCGCCGTTCATCCTCATCCTCCTCTTCTTCCTCCTCCTCTGGAAGTCGGGTGAGGAGTAGCCGCAGCAGGAGATCCAGCCGCAGGAGCCGCTCCAAGGACAGAAGGTGAGACATCACAGAGATGGAGACTGTACCTTACAACA